GGCTCAGCGGCCAGCATCCCATCCCGGGGCTCCACACTGTACCACCGGGCTGCTGGTCTCCGCTGCCTGCGCCGCTCTCCCAGCAGCCATCTCTGTGGTTTGGGCACCGCTGGGAGGTGGGATGCGAGGGAGGACCCAATTTTAGCTAATTGGCATGGACACATCTGAATGGACATGAAGCCTGAAAGGCTGAGGTTTTGGCGTTTCAACCCTAGCCCCTTGCTCCTCAGTGTCCGGAACAGGGACCCAGAGCAGATCCAGGCCTGGGGGAGGGGGCTGTGTTCAATAACATGCCCCTGGGGGCTGCATGTCTTATTTGTGCTTCTCCGCTGCCAGCTGCATCGGTACTACTACACTCTGCTTTCCTGTCTTCCTTCTTCCAACTCCTGCAGAGCAACAAACAGCTGCCGGGGCTTCTGACCCCTTTTCTCTTCCTCCTCCTCCTCTTCACCCCTGCATTTACTCCTTCCCCGCCTCACCCTGTCCCCAGACAAGCATCGAGTGGCTGCAGGTTCCCTAAAACTCATGACCCCATAGCTCTTGATTATTAGCAATATTAGCAGGCTTTATACATTTATGATTTATAGATCCTAAAAGCCCTGTCAGCTCCCCATTCCTCCCCCATTGCTCAGGAGCTTAGGACATCCCTGTGCCTGTGGCTTCTTCCCCAGGCTGGACTGGGCTGGGCACATGGTGCTCTGTTGTGTGAGGGTGCCCCTAGATAGTAAAGGGGGCTCAGTGTGCCCTAGAGAGTCGGGCACTGAGATGTGCCCTATCTCAATCTAGCCCACACCCCAGACACCTTGTCTTTAGCTCTGGTGTGGGGAGGGGGCATCTACATGGGTGGTATTTCTAGGTCCCTGATGGGAGACAGGAGTCTTGGTGGCACTGTGGTTAAAGCACTAAGAGGCCAACTGATTGGCCAGCAGTTTGAACCCAAAGACTGCTTCCGTAAATATTTGCAACCTTGGAAACTCCATCGGACAGTGCCTCTGTGGGTTTCCAGTAGAAAGCCGCATCTTTCTCTGGTTGAGCAGCTAGTGGTTTCAAACTGCTGGCCTTGTGGTTAGTAGCCCAGCGCATAACCTACAACACCACCAGGGCTCCCCCAGCTCTCTCCTATAAGGTCCCTATGAGTCAGAGAAGACTCGGCAGTGGTGGTTGCTCAGGGGGCTCCAACGCCGAGTGCAGTGGTAGTTCGTGGTAAAATTTAGAGGCCTGTCTCAGTTCCCAGTCAGGTCACTGGCAGTCAGTCCTCATCTGGCAGGGGAGGCTTGCGTGTGATGCTGCTGCTGAACATGCTTTGGCGGAGTTTCCAGAGTAAGATGGACTGGGATGAAAGGCCCCGGAGATGGACTTCTGAGTATCAGCCGTGAAAGCCCAGTGGACTGACAGTGGTTCACTGCCCAGCCAGTCATAGGGTTGCACAGGTCCAGGCAGTGTTTGTGCAAGAGGTCACCAGGACTGAGGAAAAGAACAAGTCCAAAATTAAAGAAAACATAGGCAGATTTGCCCTCGTGTCCCCCTTCAGCCCCCTGCCGTTTGCACGACCTTGCCAGGCATTCTTGAGGAAAGCACGAGATGGATGTGGATAGAGTTCCTCCTGTGCCCTGGTTCCCTGGAAGCAGGGATTGCATGGGGTCGTCTGCTGCCCCACCCACCGATGGGGTGTGTGTATAATGTACATTACCTGCGGGCCAGCAGCACTTCCCTGCAGTGTGATCCACAAGGCCACCGAGTCATGTATCCAGCATGCTTCCTGAGGGCACGAAAGCCACTGACGACCGAGGTGGGTGAAAGGAGCACGGTTTCCTGTGTCTGGAAAACCTTCAAGTGTACTGGTAGGGTCGGATGCATATTTTGCACTCAGCATCCTAAGCGTTCTGGAGGAACACAAAAGTTCCCACACCATCTGCCTGGGCAGCTCCACAGGGACCTGCAGCCACCCCATCAGGCCAGAACAAAGTCTTCCCTGCAGGGCCAGGTTCTCTCTACAAAGGGGCTGGGCTTAGCTCTACAGTTACAAGTTTTGTTTCTTCAAGTAAGTCCACACCGTTCCCTACTCTCGCTCTTGTAGGTTTTCTTTAAGGGACACATCTTCTAGAAAAGAAAATTCGTAGAAAGTTTCAGTGCAAAGCCAGAAGAGAGAAAATATATGTTCGGTCTAAGAGGACTTAGATTTCAGAGGAGGAGAGAGAAGGTCAAGAACGGTGACATTTAGTGATTTGAAACTCACAGCCATCAAGTTAATTCCGATTCATAGTGACCCTACAGAACAGCACAGAACTTCCCCTGTGGATTTCCCGGACTGTAAATCTTGCAGGAACAGAAAGCCTCATTTTTCTTTTGTAGAGTGACTGGTGGGTTTGAACTGTTGGCCTTGTGGTTAGCAGCCCAATATGTCACTCCCCCTACACCACCAGTGACTTCCAGGAGGGTTTTTATCCTGGTGAGCCTGGTGGAGGGTGGAGCCTTAGTTGGGGCTTCTTTAAAAGCTAAAAGTGAGGCCTTGGAGGTGGGAGTGGGAGTGGGTGGGGTAGGGGGAGAGACAAAGAGGTGCTGTAAGCCCATTAAAAAGCAAAGGCAGGAAGTGGCCCTGGGACTACGAGTTGTTCCGGTTGATATGTCTAGATTATGTTTTCTTAAAATCCAGAAACATATGTTTAGTGGCCATCTGCCCTTTTCAATCCTACAAAGTCTTCCACATATCTGGGCCCCTGAATTTCCCCCTCAGAAATGCTAAAAACACTAATGGGGCATTCGGAGTGTGCTGAGGTAGCGTACAGGGTGCAGTAGTAGCCCGTTCTGCCCAGCTCCCCGCACCATGTGGAGAGTGGGCTTCTGGAATCACCAGTCTTTCAAGGTGTCCCCGAATCCAGCCTGGGTTCTGGCACCCCTAGAAAAGTGCAGGCGGGCTGTGGCCCAGGCTCACGGTGTATGCGGTGCCTTTGGGAGCCTGTTGGGGCCGTTTCTAGAGAGTGGAATGCCTTCTGTGGATGTGTTGACTATGGCTCGGCTTCACTGTAGGAGCAGCTACAGGATTTGTGTTGAAGGCGGAGGCGAAGCAGGAGCTGGCCTCACATGTTGCACGTTTCTGGTGTGTGGAGAGGTTGCTCTCTCCTTCCTGAGCCTCAGCCACCAGTTGGTGTCGCTTCAAACAAGAAGGGCAAAGGCTACCTGCCGCAGCGCTCCCCCTAGTGGAAATTGTGGAGAGGAAGCAAGAGGGTTATCCATGCAAGACAGAGTTAAAAGTTCCTGGAAATGCTGCTGGTGAGAAGGGGGAAAAAAAAGAAGATAATTAAAAGGCCAGCCTAGAAAAATTCTGAGAAAAGGGTGAAGGGACCCAAACTTAAGCCCACCAACTCCCACCCCCCTTCTATTATACCTGCCCACAAAGTTAACATGTAAGAAATGGGACCATTTTCTGTCTCAGTATTAATACATATACCAAAATCCGTTCACTGAAATCCGTCTTTTCCTCTGAACACGCCTTACACATGGGTGTGTATAGCCCCAGATTGGGATATGCCCAAAGCTTTTGAGTCCCTTTGAATTGGAAATGACTTGATGGCAGTGAGTTTTGAATAAGAAGTGTTTGGATCATTTCTGAAAATCACTTCTTTTTAAAAAAATTTATATCCAAATCAATGTTTATTTTACCTGCTGAAGTCTCATGTGACTGCCCAAACAGTGACTCCCCCAAAGCGCACATTAAATGCCACTCAGTGCAAGTGAGTGCTGAGGGTCCTCCAGGTAGTGGGGCTGGGAACGGAGCCCTTTGTGTGCCTCCCGCCCCCGTGACCTGCTTGAGGACCAACAACCAGGTCTGAGAAACTGAGGAAGAACGGACAGGGTTTGGCCTGTGGGCCATCCAATGTAGCCACAGTGGTTGCCTACAGTCGGCTGACTGTTGTAGTCGCCTATCCGAAATGCTGAGCTGTGTGCAGTGTGTGTGTGTGTGTGTGTGTGTACGTGTACCTGGACCGACGGCGCACCCAGTCGGCTCGCTTGTCAGCAGAGGAGCGGGCCGCTCAACCAGCTTGGACTTGCAGGCCTTGAGGGGCTTTTATGTTGTCCTTCGGTCTGAATGAGAATGAGCGTGCACTATTGACAGTACTGTTGCCTGTTCCGTGTGGCTCATAGTTCCATGCTGCCATCTCTTGAGAAGGTCATTGCAGTTGTGCTCTGTAGAGTGGACGGGTAGACACGGTCAAGGGACAAGATCCCAACCAACCCCCACTCCCTCATCTCTTCACACTCTACAGCCTCCTTCCCTTCTCGTGCCCCACATCTGGATGCCCCACTCTGACCTTTACAAGCTGGCATAAATAGGGTGGGAACCTCTCTGACATGTTTCTACTAGCAGCCCTGGGGCACTAACCACAGCTGGGAGAGGCGCATGTGTAACCTTTTGTTTCTGGGCTCTCAACAGGAGATGAGGCAAGTGTGTCTATGCCGTGTGCACGGAGACAGGCCTTGGAGCACTCATTGTGAAAATCTCTGCAAGGCACTGTGTTTTTTAAGTATCGAGGGATCGGGGTGGGAGGTCTTGTGGATGTTGCATGTTTGAATCTCTCTGCACTGGAAAAACAATGTTTACAACTTGGCTTCCTCCACCTCCCTAGTGCTGTGAGGCTCTGGAATGCACCCACCTCTCCTCTCTCCACGTTCCCTTCTCTCCACTGCCTGGCCACACAGCCTCTCCGGCACTGAGGATCGTGGGGGGCAGGCCTTCAGAGACACAGCCTGCCCTGGCCCTGCACCTACAACCTTTGTATAAGTGGAAACTCGTCTCGCCTTCCGAAGTTTCCCAAATCCACCTTAACCCTGCACAGTTGGAAGTGGGGGTGGGGGGGGGAAAGATGAGAATTCAGAGAGAGAAAGACAGATATTGACTGGGTTGGGGGAGGGGGGTCCTGCTGGGAGTGGCGTTCAGCCAGAAGGGGGCTTTGGGGTACATCTCCCATTTCAGACCCATCTCCCTGTGTGCTTGCTCACAGACAGCCAGTCTGACGCGGAGACCACGGCATCGGGAAATGAGGTGCTGGATCTGACCGCCCAGGAGAAGGAGCAGCAGGCTCCCGAGAGGGGCCCCGAGGAGCCCTGCGGGGCTGAAGAAGACCCCCCTGCCGAGGAGGGCAGGGCAGGAGCAGCCTCTCCTGTGAGCAGGGAGGAAAAGGCAGAGGAGGACAGTGGGGAGGCAGAGGAGACACGAGAAGAAGATGCCGAGGGCCTAGAGGAGGACACAGTCAGCAACAAGAGCCTGGACCTCAACTTGGCCAGCAAGCTGATGGACTTCAAGCTGGCCGAGGGCACCACGGGCGGCGGGGGCTCCCCTCAGCAGGAGCTGAAGCATGCCTGCGACGTCTGTGGAAAGAACTTCAAGTTCTTGGGGACCCTGACCCGCCACAAGAAGGTCCACAGCCGCGAGGAGCAGAAGGAGGAGGATGGCCAGACTGAGGGGCCAGCATCCACCCAGGCGGCCAGCCCTGCCCCTGAGCCCGAGGAGATGCCCGTAGGCCTCTCGACTGTGGAGCCAGCGGAGGAGGCCACGGCAGAGAAGCCACAGGAGGAGGCGGAGGGGGTCTCCGAAGGGGAGGGTGCGGCTGAGAAGAAGGCCTCTGAGAAGAGTGATGATGCCAAGAAGCCCAAGACAGGCTCCCCCAAGAGTGTGGCCAGCAAGGCGGACAAGAGGAAGAAGGTGTGCAGCGTGTGCAGTAAGAGGTTCTGGTCTCTGCAGGACCTGACCCGGCACATGAGGTCACACACAGGTAAGGGGCGGCGTGAGCAGCGGGGCTCCAGGGACAGTCCCCTGCCAGCACACAGCTGGTGGGTGCCCTCACTTCCGGATGCGGGGCGCCAGCTTCAGGGTCATCCAGCCCCAGGCCCAGTTCTGGTGCAGCGGGCCCTCTGCTTGAGAAGCGGCGCTGTGGCCAGCATGCTCAGACGAGGGGCGCCCTTCAGGAGTAGTGGTGGCGTGACCACGGGGAAAGGGCACTTGGGACAGTGTGTCCTGGAGCCTGCGTGAGAGCAGGTTCCTCCCGGTCCTCTCCTGGTCGCAGAGTGGGCCCTGCAGGGCAGAACTGTAATGTAATGTCCGTAGCATTAAGGATCATTTAGCACCAGTCGCCCTGACTACAGAATGGGAAAGATGCTGCCCTGGTGGTCTCACGGGTGGGGGCAAAGATCTACAAGCACGATGTGTGCTGGGCTCAGACCCAGAGGTCTTGTTTCCCTCGGAGCTTGGCTCTGGGGAGGAGCTGTGAAATTTGGCCTGGGCCACAGCAGAGCCGTGTTCTCTGGCTCACCCAGCCCTCTGCTGGAAAGGCTCACACGAAGCTGGCTGCCCACTGTGGCTTCTCAAAGACCGTTCTTCCAGCGTTTGCTGCAGCCTGGCTGCCTAGACTGCCCCAGGACCCTCACCAGCACAGTCTGCATGGTGTCCTATTTGAGCTCTGGTCTTGTTCAGCTTGGAGGTCAGACCCCAAACAGAGGCCTGAATACTCATGAAGCCAGATAATAGGACGGTCCTCCACTCACGGAAACACCAGGGCCCCGCACTTGATTTCTTCCCGCCCAACCATCAGAGATGCCTCTCCAGCATGCATGCTTGTCGACACCTGCCCCACGCTCACACTTCCCCACACTCGCCTCCCACGCTCACCCTTGTGCTCACACACACACACACACGCCCCCTTTGAACAAGTCTACCCACAGGGGCAACAACCCTATCTCAGCGAGTGAGGTCGTGCTCCCTCAGTACTCTTGTGCTCGCGCATACTTGCTCACCCCTGTGCACGTGTGCACACCCACTCCCCCTCCGCTCACACATGTGCATCGCAGCCTGCATGCCCAGGTCCCAGCTGTGGCCTCTGGGGAGCATAAGGTCCATCATGGTCAGCTCTCAACAGAGGGATAATCGCAGGCTCCCGACAGGTGTTGTCCTCAGCTGCTCAGGGTTTATGAGTGGGCGGGAAGCGGCAGCTGCTCCATGTGAGAGCCCAGGGCATGCCTGCCACCCGCTCATGAGAAGGCCCTCTGTCCTCTCCCAGGCCCTGACCCCAGCCAGCCTGGACCCGTGAGGCTTCTGCTTTGACACTCTGGATCAGAACATATAAAAATTGTGGGCAAGGACATGGCTGGGGAGAAGGCACATGTCCCTTTATGACACCTGCACCCCAGGTTGCCAAGTGCAGACAGGTGGGGTGGGGTTGGTCCCCAGAGTGAGTCGTGGGCCCGGCCTCTAGGTCTCAGCTCCCCCCCTCTGCTCACACCTTAATGAACCTGGCTGCTGTCCCTGGGCAGAGCGGGGACAGGTGGTGCTGAGCTTACCCAGACACGTCTGCTTGTCCTGTTGCTGCAGGGGAGAGGCCGTACAAATGCCAGACCTGTGAGCGTACCTTCACGCTGAAGCACAGCCTGGTCCGCCACCAGCGCATCCACCAGAAGACCCGGCACCCCGAGAAGGATGGTGACCAGGACGACAGCGAAAACGAGTCTACCCACAGTGGCAACAATCCCGTCTCCGAGAGTGAGGCTGAGTCCACGCTGAGCACCAGCAACCACATGGCCGTCACCCGAAGCCGCAAGGAGAGCTTGGCCAAGGAGGCCAGTCGCAAGGAAGAGAAGGTGGCAGTGAGGACAGCTGCTCCCTGCCAGGCTGAGTCCAGCAAGGCTGCACCCAGGGCTGCCCCTGGGGTCAGCCCCACAGAGCAGGCATCTCAGGGGACCGCTGACCAGCCAGGCTTTACTTCAGGGCAGGACCAGTCCCTCCTGGCCACAGCCGCTGAGGTCTTTGCTCAGCCCCCGGGAATGGAATGACCGGCACCCTGCACCCCAACACACCGAGCCAGCAGAGCAAAGCACCCACTCTGCGCTTCCCAGGCTTCCTCAGCACCCATGGGCAGCTGGAGGGAGGAGCACAAGAGAGTGCAATGCAGGCAGAGGGAGAGGCAGCCCGCCTCATGCCATAGCCCTGCGGGCTCACCACACCAGACCACACAGACTGATCCGAGTGCCTTAACTACTTTACCCAAAAGCCTTTGGAATCTTAGTTTTGTTTTTGCTTTCCAAAATGACTACACACACACACACACACACACACACACACACACACACACACACAGAAAGCAAAATAAGTCTTTCGATGAATTATCTGGAGAGGATGTTTTCATTTAAAGCATTAATGTTACCTTTTTTATTGGTATGTGTGAGTTTATTCTTGTGAGTCTATTGTGATAGTACTGTTTGTTCTATAAGCTGGAAACAGCAGAAAAACAAAAATGCCCCTGGATTACCCATAGCCAATAACTGGAATAAAATGATGTGAATGTCATATAAATTACCAGAGGAAATATGGATAAAATGCTGAGTTCTCAGAGTCCTGTCCTGTTCCCCACCCCCGCGTTTGCTACCTGGTAGAGCTGGATCTTGACCCTGGTGTTACAGGAGTTAGTTGATGAAGGTTTCAAAGTTGGTTCAAGCCCAAACCAGGAAAGATTCCTGGCATGCCCCTCACTCCTGGAGGTGGTCTTACTGCTCATGTGTGCAGACCATCGTTCTTGCCTTACAGAGAAGACTTACCCAGGCAGCGTGACCTATGGAAGTCGTATGCACAGCTGTCATAGATTTGTCTATTTCCCCCTTTCAGTATATTATTAATGTTATTGTTATATTATTAGTTCATCTGTCTGCGAATCTCTGCAGTGAGCAGAAATAAATGGGCAATATTTGTCCCCAGAGCCGGTGCCACCGCCGGAGCCCCGCGTGTGTGTCCAGCCACATTGGGACCAGCAGCCTGTGGTAGCCCTTCTACTGTACTTAGACCAGCCTCTCTTCCAAGATGGGGCTCCACAGGAAGCAGTGAGTGTCCTTGGCAACCAGCAGGGGAGTGCTCAGGCAGGGAGGGGCCTGTGTCCCCACCAGTGCCTGGGGAGAACCATCTGAGGCAGCCCCAGATCCGCAACCTGTACCCAGGGACTGCCCAAGATATCAGGTAGTGGGGAAGCGAGATCTTCTCTGTCTTCCTGTTAAACCCCACACCAGCCTTCACCCCACTGCATAACTGCCATTTGGAAAGCGAAAAACTACTGGTGATAGATAAAGCTACATGTGCAAGAATATGCAAAGAAATAGATGTGTGATTACCTTCCTGCCTTTTAGGGTTGGTGCTGGAAGATACAAAAACAAGAGTTTTTAGTTTCTGGAATAACCTGGGCCCCTCTCCTCGCAGGAACACCCTCCCACCCCCCACCCCTCCCCCGTGAGCATCCTGTGCAGATGATAAATTCCCTGGCTGCAGCCAGCCAACCGCCCGCCCCGCCCACAGTGGAAAGAGAGATGCTACTGTAGCTGAGCTCTGTTCAGCGTCTGCCCTCCGCTAGGCCTCTGGGAGCCCGGAGCCGAAGACAGCCTGTGCTGTCTGCCACTTGAACCCTCGCCTCAGCCTGGGGGATGCAGCTTCAACCCCACACCCCCTCCCGGGCCCCTGTGTGCACCCATGTGCACACAGGTGCACCCTTTCCACTTGCACCAATTTCTGGTGGCTGAAATTTCAGCCATCCTGAGTCAGGGTGTGACGCCTACTCTTGAGCACGAGACGTGCTAGTGTTGCATATGAAAGGAAGGAAGGAAGGAGGTCGAGGTATATATGATTTCTAACTGTACGGGGGATGTTTGAACCAGTTTTTCAAATGAGATTTTATTGAGTTTAGATGATTGCAAATCAGAACCGATGCCCCCTTGCCTTGCCTGACTCTACCAAGTGTGGACTACTTGTGAAAACCAGTTCATTAGCCCTTGTTAATTATTATTACTGTTAATATGAATTGTTATTTGGGATTTCTTGTGTTTTTGTTGTTCTTTTGCAGCTCCCCACACTAAAACCTGCAATCCTGTGGGGGAGAAGCCATGCCTAAACTCTTGGCTGCGGTGCCTTGTCGCAATCATCAGCTCCCGGCCACGTCGCCGGGCTGCAGCTCGCAATAATCACTTTGATTTAAAGCTTTATTTAGCCTCTTTCCCCTCGTAGTCGAGATAGTCTTGCCACATTTTAGTAGTGAGGTTGAGAAGTGTATTATTTGTTTGTTGTTTGCCCTGCCCTGCCCCGACCCCTCCAATATTAAACTGTGAAATAGGTGATTTGTTTAAACTCTGGGTGAATCATAGCTTAGTTTGCATGTTCAGCTAATTTGTTTTTCTAGACATTTTGTTTGATTCTCTTTTTCCGTCTCTCAGGGCTTTTACAAAGAAAAAATATATATATGGATCTTCTGAAAGTTTTTTGAGGTGCAAGTTTTTCTGTTTGTTTTTCTCGTTGATCAATGAACATAATGCTGAGATTCAATCACTACATGAAACACGTGACTGTGAAAGCCACACACCCCCTGAATGGCTGTTTCCCAGATGGCTCTGGGGAAGCTACGCAACAGTCAGGTGCCCGTTTCAGAAAGATTGGTCCTCTTTCCTGACCCTCCCCAGGGCTCTCTCCTCCCTCTCTTCAACAAGGAAGATAATCCTAGTGATTTCAGGCCATGCATTAAACAGGAAACAATAAGTTTGTAGGATTCATATTTTTCTAAAGGGAACTTAAAAACTGCTGCTACGTGTTACGTACAAAACTGGTTTATGCCACATGAACAGAGAATCACAGTTTGGTTTGGGTACTTTCATTCTTCTTTGTGTTGTACAGTACTTCCAAATTCAAAATGAAAAGCTGTTGTGTATCAAACCATCTAAGCAATAAAATGTTATATTTTAAAATTGCAGGTTGCCAGTCATGTGGCTCTTCTGTGATTTGCTGTCATCCTGTCATTTGCCCCGCCCCGGGTTTGCGGCCTTCCTGCTAGCAGTATCCTGTGTCTCCTGTGGCTTGGAGGAGTGGGGGGTGTTAGAGGTTGCTGGGGTTCTCCGGCCCGCCGGCCGATGGACAGCTGGGGTGGCAGTGTAACCAGGGTGGCGGCCTGAAATAGCAGGCCTCTTGTTCTTGCAATTGCCGGGACTGCCTTGGAAGAGCGTATGGAAAGTTAGCGAAGTCGGACCTTTGTGGGAGCTATTGGAGAAGAAACTTCACCTGAGCTCACTGCACAGAACGGGTCTCTTCCAAGCCTTTTGAGGGTGGGACCCGATGGTGTAAGGGACCCGTAGTGGGACATGAGGCAACTCTTGGTCCATTTCCAACAGAAGTAGAATCCAAGCATGTTAACATTATCTGGGCAGCAACTCACAAGAAACCCACTTGACCTTCTCCTCCTCCCCAACCATTAGGAAGGAGGATAGGGTTACCTACCGACTTAGATGACCCCAAAAGCAGTTAGTGCAGGCCTGCTGAGCGTGGGGGGGGGGGTCGGGACAGTCCCCCCTCCAAAATGGAGGAGAGGTACAATGGCTGACAAATGAATGCCATTTACTTCACTGTAAAGTAGTTCTCGCAACAGCAACCCTGAAGGAAGCTGGTGTCAGGGCAGGGAGCTAGATGCTGTTTCCAAAGTGATGCCGGGGTTTCAGTGGCTGTTTCGTTGCATTGTTGCCACATCCTTTTTATGGTGAATTAAATGAAGGTTTACACCAGAGGGTGGGTAACCTTCAACAGCTATACAAAATTATCAACGTAAAAAGTAGCCAGCATGAAAGCTGGTCAAGCATTTCGTTCTCTCACCCCTCGGGTGATGGCTGGCATTAGTTCTCTTGGGTGAAGTGTGTGCTGTTGGCTGGCATTGAGGTTTCTTAGATAACTGATAGCAGTTTTACGTTCGATGATTTTGACACATTTTAGCTTCGTTCATTGCAATTCCCTCCCTGTAACATCCTTAATTCCATTTCCTCCTCGTGTGGCCTGTTCCCCTCCTTGCCCTTCAGAACTTTGCCCTTGAGTTCTTGTTGTTTTTAAGCAGTCCTTGGGCAAAAGATTTACCCGATGCAATATGGTGTTTGTTTCCAACATCTTGGGTGGAAGTTGATAGAGCATCAATTCAGACATGGTCTGTGGCATTGGCTGTCATCTCACAGCCTAACAGCCCTCTCACCATTTCCTTCCTTCGCTGCCCTTCCTGCCCCCGACGCTGTAACCCTAGGCAGATGCTACTTTCTTGCTCTGGCGTGATTGATTGTCCTAAGAAGAGTCTACCTCTCTGGTGGTAGCATACATTGTATAGGCCTATGTATTGTTTGCCTGGAAAGTGAGTTCACTTCCATGCTGGAACAAAATTTAAAAGCCTTAGGTTTAGGGGTTCCACTACCCTTAATCAGACAAGTGAGCTTGGTCCTTTTTATCATTTTGAATTCTGTTCCATCGTTTTCTCCTACTCTATCCAACACCACCCATTGTGATCCCTTGGCTAGGCACCATCTAGTTCTGGTCTCAGGATTGTGGAGGCTGCGTCCGGGTGGCCCATTGGTCCTGTGCACTGGTTGCCTCCTGGGGCTTTGGGTTTTCTGCACTCTGCTTTGGCTGGGAAGAGGCCTATCGTTGCTCCTGGACACTGGCTGATTTTTAGTAGATTGCCAGGCTGCCTTTCCATCCAAGGAGCTCCTGGGTGGACTCAAACCTCCAAACTCTCAGCTACAGCCAAGCACATTCACTGATTTATTGATATCTCATCAAAACCAGTCTTGGGGTTGGGGCAGGAGCTCGATGAGATACCAATGAGGGGCCCTGATTCACAGATACTATAATTAAGCACCTCACCACAGATCAGTGTCCTCAAGTCAAAACATTCACTGTTGAGAAGTGCTTCCCCTCACAGTGACCCAATAAGACAGTAGAACTATCGCCCATAAGGGTTTCTAAGGCAGTAATCTAACAGCCACAGCTTTCTCCCACAGAGCAGCTGGTGGAATCCAACCGCAGACCTTTCTTCCTGTGAACACCTGAGCGCTTCAACCATGGCAGCTCCTTTAGGTACGGGAAGGAACTGCAAAGGGAAGCCCTCCTGGACACCACACTTGATTCCCCACAGTCCGCTGCCACTGACAATGTTCGGACTGACGGGCCCCCTCGAGGGTTTCTGAGGCCATAAATCTTTAAGGGAGCAGAGTTTCAACTTTCTCCTTTGGGAGCGGCTGATGTCTTTGAGTCACCAGCCTTGTCATTAGCCATCCAGTGCTCACTGGACAGCACCACCAAGGCGCCTAGATTTCTCCTAAAGAGAGTCCCAAAATACCACAGGTATTCTTCCCCAGCTCCTCACCTGACCTGGCGAAGGAATGGAAGAAGCTTCAAGGCAGGCCCCTGCACCCAGCCTGCTCTGCCTTCCCCTGTTGTACAGGAGAAGGTGGGGTTCCGGGTATGGGGTAGCAGGCCTTCCTCATCACTCCCCCCGCTCTATGACGCCTCACTATGCCCATGAAGACCATTTGGACTTTTACCTAAGCATACTCCACCCTGGAAAGTTTGGAGGGAACACCTTTGAGCTCTCCATACCAGGCAGCCCTCGGGCAGTCTTAGGAAGGACCCTAGCCAGAGTGCCTCCCCAAGAAAAGTCTTATTTGTACCTGTGCACATGCTTCCGTCTAGCCCACAGTGAAAGGCAGGACGGGGGTGAGGAAGCATCAAGGAACCAGAGGAATATTGTGTGTTTCACTGCGCCCTGGTTGACTCATCTCTTCCCTGTGATCCTGTGAGGGGATGTCCCATTGTATACAGATGAATTTTGGGTCTCTGCCCCCTTGTTCTCAACAATATGGGGTTTATTTGCTTGTTTTGGGTCTTCTGATGCCTGTTACGCAATCCCATCGACACCTCATGGTTGCATCGGCTGGTGTGTTTCTTCCATGTGGGCTTTGTTGCTTCTCTGCTAGATGGCTGCTTGTTTACCTTCAAGCCTTTAAGACCCCAGATGCTATATCTTTTGATTGCCAGGCACCATCAGCTTTTTTCACCACATTTGCTTATGCACCCATTTTGTCTTCAGCAATTGTGCCAGGAGGGTAAGCATCACAGAATGCCAGATTGTTAGAACAAAGTGTTCTTGCGTCGAGGGAGGGCTTGAGCAGAGGCCCGAAGTCCATCCACTACGTCAGTGGATTGCCATATGTACATAGGCCAATACCTCTATTTTTATGAGTTAATGTATTTACATATGTACACATATGCTTATACCTCTACCGTAGCTTTACTTCCCAGATCCTTCCTGTTCCTTCCTCCTGCTCCACCATCACGCTCACCCTTTTCCCATCTCTTAGTAGTTCCTCTCAGATTGCTGTTGCTCCAACACTCCCAGGATCTCTACATCCTCCTTACTGATTTTAATGCCCTAGTTGTTCACCTGTCTATGGCATTGTTTGCTCACCACTCCCTTCCCCCACCTCCTCCTTCCCCCAAGCCCCTCTGGAAACTGTCAGTCCCCTTGCTTTTTCCTCGGGCATGCTTCCCAGGCCTATATTATAGAAGCAGGCAAACCAACAATAACAGAAACCAAACAAAAGCTTGAATACAAAGAGAAAAAAGGGAAAAAATAACTAGTTAAAAAATATATATATTCCTTTATGACTGACTCCCCACTGGTTCTGGGGAAACGTGTGCACAGGTACAGATAAGAGATAAGAGCTCACAACACAGAATCCAGGAACAGGAATGGGAGTAACAAAACCAGGAGGGTAGAGAGAAGGTGGGGAGAGGAGGTGAAGAAGGGGGAACCTATACAATGATTGACATGTAACCACAGACCACCAACACCACACCCAATCCCCAGGGGGATGAACAACAGAAACTGTGGTGGTAGAGAGACAGCGGTCGGTGTAAGATGAAAATTATAATAATATATAATTTACCAAGGGGTCATGGCGGGGACCATGGGAGAGCTGATACCAAGGGTTCAATAGAAAATAAATGTTTAGAAAATAATGATGGCAACATATGTATGTACAAATATGCTTGATACAATTGATGTATGGATTGTTACAAGAGCTATAAAAGCCCCCGATAAAATGATTTTTATTAAAAACAAAAGAAAGAAAATTCTCTACTTAGGCCTGGGGAGAAGCCCAGAGCCTGATGGACCACAGGGGCCTCAGTCAACCTTGTACACACAGGAACAGGGCCCGAGGGCCCTCAGAAGCGCATTCTAATTTGGGCTGTACCACCCTCAGCAGCATGGGCAGATAGGAGGTTTCTAGAACCTCACAGATCAGGCACGACCGAACAGTGCCCAACACGGGTCGCTCCCACTTCCAGTCGGCCGTGGCCTAATGCTCAAGTCTCCCCAAATTTGTGTTTAGGCTTTCCTGTAAAGATTTACAGCAGAGAGAGCGGGAGAGGAGAGGGGAGGAGAAGAGAGAGAAAGAAGCTCCTTGGCATGCCCTCCCCAGTGCCTTAGAACTGGCGCGACTCTCCTGCTTTTTCCACTACCAGCCTCAGCCCACAAAGGCCAGAAGCTAGGAAGGGATCACTGCGCTTATTTTAAACTTCAAATTGAAGGTTGCCCTTTCACAGCAACAAACAGTCCCCGCTGACTCTTGCTGCCAAAACCAGCTTCCTAAATAAGAAACAAGTGGTCACGCGATGCCCATTTTACTTTTAGGAGCAGGAAGACCACAGCCAAATGTGGAAGCGCTGGCAGGCGTTCATCTGACTGCAGCCTACCCTGGCTACCGTGGTGGGTGAAGGCACCCAGGGCCACGGGCTCCTTGCAGACAAGGGAAGCCAGGGCTTTGCAGCAGCTGCTCTCCAGCGCGCTGCCTCACTGATTGTGGTACAGCTCCTCCTCGGTAGTTTTACCTTAAAGGGTAGTCCCTACATGGTCCAAGCACCTAAGCACTCCATGGCT